ACCATGGCCTGTGTCAGGCGCACCTTAGTCTCCAGAGAGACACCGCTGCTCTTGAGTACTTTAGAGAGGTCCCTAACAGCAGACTTTCCCATCACAATATATTTTTTTATTTCCTGGCTGCTGGTGCCAAGAGTGTTGACCGTGGGGCTGAGCAAACTGAAGCTGTGAACAATCTCAATCTCTTCACCATCCATACTGATGCTACTGATTGGTCAAGTGGTGAGAATTTTTGTCTTTTTAACATTGAGCCTCAGTCCATACTGAAGGCTGTAGTCCTTGACCCTCTGCAGTAAGTGAATGAGGTCCTCCTCAGTTTCAGTGAGCAGGGTTGTGTCATCTGCACAAAACAGATTTCTTTTTGCTGCCTATGTATGCAGCAAAATTAGACTTGGCAAAAATAAGATCTTTTTTAAAAAAAAAAAGTAATCTGTTTAAAAACATCAAAACTAACAGGTGCAACCAAGACCAGAAGGAGCAAGATGTCAAAGAGGAGAAAACTTCAAAGAGGTGTGGTAGGTTCTGTGGCCAGTGGAGCGATCCACTTGCGGGAGCTGGAGAAACTGATGACTTCATCACGTGGAATTACACAGAGGCAGTGTCATACAAAATTGTGAATGTAAATGTCACTAAATGGCTAGTCCACTATGCAAATGTACCTCAGTAAATTATACACAGACAGAGATTTTTGTTATTGCTGGTTGTTGTTACTGTTGTTGTTGTTAAGTGTCATCAAGTCGTAGATGACTCACAGCCACTCTATGAACTAAAGACCTGAACACTTATATCACTTTCATCCTTTCTCCAGGTTCATAGGGTTTCCGGAGGCAAGCTATTTCGAAAGTGGATGCCACTCCTGCTTCCAAGCTTATTTTAATCAATGAGCTCCACTAAACACTGTCTACCATGGGTAAACATTATCGCATTTGACACACCACTGTCACCGTGTTCAGCTTCACAGCAACGAGTTACCTCTGTACAGCAAATGGACAGACCAGTGCTACACCACTTACAAGAATGTTTGACCAAAAACAATTAAAACCAGGCCTGAGGGTCACAAATTAAAACCACCCACCTTTGGTAACATAACTTTCTATCCACAAGGCCAAGAGAGCTCTTTTATTTCCTTTTTTCCCTATAGAGTCAATTTATCCCTTTTAATAACTGATACTGAAGCACACAAATATCTTGTCACTCACTTAACCATTCCTCTGTTAATGAATATTGCTAGGTAGGTCTAACTTTTTACCAATGTAAGGTTGGAACAGCATCTTTATACGTGTGTGTGTGCTGGGTTTGTTTTGGTTTGATTTTTGTTTTTTATAATTTTATTGTGATTAGGCAAAAGATTACAAAGCAAATTACCCTTGTATTTTTTTTTTATTGAAAATCACATATATGCTTTTATTTCTATAGTACAAACTCAGAAAAATGGGATTACAGTGTAAAAGCTGTATTACTCTCAGATATTTCAAGTTATTTTCTCAAAAGATTATAGAAATTCATCCTCCTAGAAATTTGTTTGTGCCTGCTAATTCTTTTTAATCAGAATGAGTTTTTAAAAATGTTTTTTAATATATTAATCAGAAATCTGGTTGACTGCTGTTTCTCTTATAGCAAAGGTGGGAATCTTTTCACACTGGTCATTTACATTTTCTCTTCCTAATCTTTGTCATCTTTTGACCCTTTTACTTTTTATGGTTACTTACAAGGGTTCTTTTAAATAGTAGCCATTTTAGTCTTATACATGATACATAATATGAACTTTTTAATTTGGAAAAAAAATAAGTCATTTGGTTTTTGTTTATGATGGGTGTATGTTTCTCAATCTAAAGTTGAAATAATCTTTTGAATATTTCTTTTGTTTCATATCTCAATAAAAAGAAAAGGTGTAATGGAGTGCTGGAAAAGAATACTGCACCCAGGGATAACTCTTCCCATGATGTTTGTTTTGTCAAATCCCCCCAGGACCCACCTGCATTACTGAAGTGTCTCTTATTGGGATGGCTGTAGTTATCCCGCGGATGGCCATGCATCTGGGGGCCATGGGAGGCAGGCAGGTGAGGCTTCTGAGAGTGAAGGTTGTGTGGGGCGTGAGACTGAGACATCAGGGAGTCTCGGCTGGAGCCGGAGGGCTCTGGTCGAAAGGGTTTTTTTCCACTAACCACATCATCTTTCTTCTTTTGCTCCTGTAGAGTAAAAAGAACATTTCAGCTCTATTTCCCCAAAGCTGACTAAAAACATCTCCCTCTCACAACCCAGCTGATCTCCTAAACTGCTAAGGAAAGAAAAAGAAAACATAAATTCTTGCACTCTACTGAGCTCAAACAGCATGACTAGGCTCCCTCTGCTGGTGACAGTGATCCACTCGCTGACCTTGGTCCCCAGGTCACCTCAGAAACCCTCCATGAATCGTAGGCCTTCACAAACCCGTGTGAGGGTCACTAGGGGTCACTATCTGTGATCTGAACAGAGATCAGGGGACCAGGATCCTCAGAGAACCATCCTGAAATCATGCAAACAGAGACTACTAACTTCCACAGGCTGTCTAGAACAAGCAACTCCAAAGTCATCAAGCTAAATATTGAAATGTCTGAGGAACTGCTTTACTACTCACATAAAGGGAAAAGAAAAAAAAACAAAAACAAATAAAGCTACAGAGAATCTCATCACCAAGGGGTAATTACATTAAAATGTGTCCACCTCGCCAAGCTTTTCTGCATGTGGATATATGTGCTTGTCGTTGCTGTGTGGCACTGAGCTATCACTGAACACAGCTGACCCTCCAGCAGGTTTCCAGAGGCAGTAAATCACAATGGAGGAAAACTGCCCATCCTTCTCCTGCAGAGCAGCTGGTGGATTCGAACTGCGTGCTTTGAAATTGCAGCGCAGCTTCTTGCCACTAGGCCATCAGAGCTTGTTTTGTGTGTGTACAGATTTCTTCAAAACAGAAATATTATTGGGCATCATCTTTCTGCACTTAATATACAATGAAAATCTTTCCCTGTAAACTTCAATTATAAACATTTCAAAATCTATCATCTCTTTAAAAGAATTTCTTACAAACAAAATTCTGTGTTTCAGTGGTTTGATAAATCTTTTGGAATTATTGTCCAGAAAGGCTGTGACAACGTCTGCCTCCATTAGGAGGATCATCACTTTTGTTACTCAACTTACACCAACTTGTAATATTTAGAATATTTATTTACTATTTCATTTATTTAATATTAATTTCTTATATGTAACTTATTTAATAGTTATTATTATGTGTGTAAATTCAAACCCTCATTCTAATTTTTACTCCTTACTAGTAAGAATTTAACTATCTGATTCCCTTCTAGGGACCTTTTCTGACTAGTCTTCAAAAGTTTTTATAATGCTTAAAATGTAAGCAGTTACCAGTATTTGTATATTACCAGTGTATGACATTTCCCTCCTGAAATTATACTGTGAGCATCACTGTCCTGGGCATAGCACAGTTACAGTACATTCCTTCTCAGCACCTCTAAATCCACTCCAAGTGCTGAAGATACATACAACGGTGGATGAGATATAAAACCCCATCTTCAAAGTCGACATGCTAGTGGGGGAAATCTAAAGCATCACTGACTGGCCTGAAGCAGCTGATCTGGTAATGCCCTCACAGCAGGTCAGCCGGTCTGCAGCCAGCCAGGCTTACATAGCATCACCGCCCCAGAGCTGCAGCCAAGCCGCTGCCATCGAAGGCAAAGCAACTCCAGCCACCTTCTATGCTGTTCTTTCAAGGGAGCAGTTGGGACTCTACATGTGGACACCAAGTATATGGTCCACGAAAAAAAAACAACACAAAAAACAAGAAAACATATTTTCTCCCCACAGGGAAGGGTTCTGATCTGTTCCTACAGTCACAGTGAGTCATGGCTGACTAGACAGCACATAACACCACCACCACACACAAACCTGCTAGCTATCAGATGACAGAGGAATCAGTTAACATATGTGCAATAAGAGATTTATGAGACATTGTAATTAATTACATTAATCAATGGTAATTCTTGGTATAAAACAAAATGCCTATGAATAACTACCAAAAAAACCCAATATGATTTGTAAGTCTTCACTCAAATAAAAAATTATAAAAACTGAGTAAAAAAGATATGTGCAGATAGAAGGAAAAGATTTGACAACTAAATTATTCCAATACTTAAGAACACACAGTAATAATACTCATTTGTCAGTTTGGTTGCAACTCACTGGCTATTTAAATCACCTGGTCTAACTAGCTTGACCACCAACAGTGCACGCTAAGCAACTGTGTAAAAGGCTGGATTGGGGCTGCTGGGCTGCTGTCCACACACCATGACCAGGGTGCTTCCCTCACCCATGTCACCCACAAAGCAGAGGAGCTGGGATCTAGTGACCCTTTCAGAACCAAAAGCCTATCAGTTTATTGACTACCTTAAAGCCTTTTTAAAAAAGAGACTGACTTTTGCTTGTTTAATTAGGATTAAAGCTGTATTTTACCTCTTCTTCCTGAGACCTTTTCTTATGAGCCATCTTGTATAATTTATGTAGTTTTCGAGCATCAAATTCTGTAAACTTGGAAACAAAAATCCATAGGTTCCTTAAAAAAAAATAACAGTTCCGGTAAATTAAACAAATATGGAAATAATTTCATTGATTCCTTTTACAAATGGCAACCTAATACATTCTGCTCTGAAATACTCTGAACAGCAGACTTGACATTAATGTTCTTTTGGGCTTTAAACATTGACCAAACATGCTACTGTCAACAACAGAGTCTTACCAAGCAGCTTGGAGAACAAGAAAGATGTCTGACAGCTAGAAGCCTCTCTAACTTATACAACCAGCACACCCAGGATCTGATAAGCTGTCTGCTAAATTCTCCCTGTCTCCCTTTCTTGACAACACCATATCATGACCACCACCTCCCAGGCTAAGACCTCCACAGAGCTGTCCACCCCAGCCTCAATATCTTCTCTGACAGCACCATCACCACTCAGTGATTTCTCCCCTCCAATTCCAGTGCACTCAGCCTGGCATTAGTGATATCAGGGGAGTAAAAGATAAAATGAACCTTTAGAAAGAGGAAGTAAAGTGTCATCAACATCTCACACCAGAAGAGCTGTCTCTCCACCCCATGCTGGTGACTGGCTCCCTAACAAACAAACCTGATGCAGCGGGTGGGGTGGAACCCATCGGCCTTTCTAAGAACCACCATATTAAAATTTGTTTTCTTAATAAGTTGCCTGCTAAACTTTCAAAACTCTCACTGCCTCACTGTCAAGCCTTTGCAGAAATCGGAAAACCCTGCATTTGAGCATTTCTACTTTTTTCTTCCCTGGCCAGTGCAAGAAAGAGTCCCTGCTTCACGGACCTGTGGATGAGGTGCTTTGTTATCTTCTAATTGGGACTAAATAGGCAAAAAGAAAGCTTGATGGGCTAGACACAGGCAGAAATTTATTAACAGTATTGAGGGGTGGGGGAGAGACATTTGAGAATTACATCTTTCTCTCCCAGTAGGTGTGAAGCATGCTGTGGAGAGTATTATGGATACAAGAGCTGGTTTTTTGTTTGTTTGTTTGTTTTTGGATAAAAGAGCTGTTTTAAATCTCATTTTCTCACAAAAACTAATCCACTGGAAAAAAGTACATTAAACCAAGATAATTAATAACACTATAAAATTACATGTTAAAAATAACTGAATTATAGAAAGAAACTTAATGCTATCATTTCCTTTAAAAAGTCAGGTTGTGTTTTCTTAAAAATCTCAAAAACAAATATAAAGGCATACTCTCTTAGAGACTTAAATTCTGGATTAAAAGCATTAATTCAAATTACTCAAGCTCTTAATTAGTACAGGAGGAGATGATGACAACAGAAAATCCACAGCTGTGGTGAATGTAAGTTTTGGTTTTCCCCCATGTTTTGACAAAGAATTAAGAACCACAGTGTGTCTGCACATCAACCCAAGGTGGGTAAAGTACTGGGACTAGATGGTTTTATCCCTTTCAGCTTTAAAGAGTGAGTTTCTGTTCTGAGGAAAGGCTGACAAATGCAGAACCACCATCCTTCCCTGTCAAAACTATGGCACCATCACAACCACGCAAATGTCTAGTCTCGGCGTCAAGGCCTGTCTCAGGCAGGGAGGTCGAAGCCTGCAGCCGTGCTGCCCAGAGCTGGCCAGTGCTGGGGAAAAGAACATTTTATAGGGCAAACCCAGAGCCTGCCTCACAGTGTTCCAGCAAAACCGGCTCCCTCCAGGCCGGCGACAGTTACCTCCTCCACAGTTTGATGTGCTCCTGGTCTGAGTAAGCTTTAAGGCACTCGGCGATCCGGTCTCCGATCTTTAGCAGACAATTCCGTGTGTGCTCCAGCTGTTCCTGCACGTTGAGGCCCTTGTCAGGCTTGTCCAGCTGCTTCAGAGCCTTTTTCACAGGCCTCATCCTCTCCTTACACTGAAACAGGGCAAGGGGCAGACATGAAACACCTGCAGCAGAGAAATCTGCGACCCACCTCAAGAAAATATAGCCTAGCCTCTTGACATGTGACGCCTCTATATTTTACTCAGTCTCTCAAAATGTTCTTTTCCTCATCTGAAGAGGGGCAGGATATTGCCTCACCAGGCCATGATGAAGCTCAAATGAGAAGCTAACCTGTGGGCCTACTACCACCTAGAAATGTAAAATTAAACATTTGACAAATCCTTTTTTGCTGAGCCTTTTCTGACTCAGACTGACTTTCACGTACAACATAATGAAACGCTGCCTGCTTCTGGCTTCCTCACCATCCTTGCTGACTGAGCCCACTGCTGTAGCCACTGCGTCACTCTGCCGCACAGGAGGGTGAGGGAAAGATAATGAGCTCAACACAAGAATCTTCTCTCTCCCTCCTCAAGTCCCACAGAAACAATGGTGAAGGGACTATCTTAAAGAAACTCATGAAAGAGAAAGGGGGAGAGAATAACAGCCAAACTCCTGTAGCCTCCAAAAACCGTACCAGCCCTGAGAGAGACCACAGCCAGCAGCAAAGACCAGAGAACCCGTCTGATTTGTACTGCAGGATTCTCCCCAAGGGCAGGTATCACTGAACACAGGGTGAAGCGAAAAGAAAACGGATCCTCTGATCCCTAACAGACACCCAGATCTAGGCCTCAGCCCAAATAGGGAGAAAGTAAAAGGAAAGGTCTCCATACCAGGCTCCACAGACAAAGCTAAGAGGCAAAGCTGTCACTGAAAACCATAAGGAGGTGCACACAGAATCCACCAGCTGCTCTGGGGGGGGAAAGATAGGCAATCTCCTCCCACTCGATTTAGAGCCTCTAAAAACCTGCCAGAGGGTCACTTATGGGTTGGTTCCAACTTGACGGTACACAACAACAATAACAACATGCACACTGGAGAGCCACACCACACGCTCCTGCCTCTCAAACTGAAGAATGGAGAAAGCCAGGCTCCACCTTCCTAGCAAAAGACAAGGGGATTTCCCCCCCACCAAAATGTGACCACCCCAGAAAAAGAGCCTAAAAATGCTAACCGTCCACAGCAAATTTCCCAGTGAAGCAGCCCGTCCAGAACTCCCCACAGTGAACTCTCTAGACCAAACCTCACCCATGTGCACAGAGCTACCACTCTAAACACAATGAGGGTCAATGGTAGGATCCCTGCCATCAACAAGCAGGGCTCAATTTCTGGTCAACTCACAGGCAGCTTATGAGAAGATTGTGGATCAAAACAGTCCATAGTGCAAGGGCGACCTGACAACAATAACACACTTCAACATGAGGAGATAAACAAAGGTTACAAAGTCATTTAAACTGAACACAAAGAATACAAAAACCCACACACAACAAAGAAGAATATAAAAATTATTTAGCAAGTCAAAGGAGATACAAGGTATTGGAAATAAAACATAACAAGAAAAATTTTTAAAAAAGAAAAAGAATGAATAAGAGATAAAGTTGAAGGAATCTTTCAGAGTGTAAAACAGAACAGAAAATGTAGAGGGAAAGATCATAATACTACAGGACAATTTGTGCAGTCAAGTATCTAAAAATAAGGAGTTCCACAAATGTAAGACTTTAGAAAGATAAAATTCTTTTCTCATCAATAGCCCACTCTTCTGATCGGCTGCATCCCTGACATACATTGGTGGTCACAGTAAATGGATTTGGCCACACTGGGCACCTGGTCACCAAAGCTGCTTTTAAGTGGATATTGTTCCCACCGATGATCCGTTCACTGACCTCAACTACAAGGTCTGTATGTTCCAGTATGATTCTACCCATAGCAAGTTCAAAGCACTGTCAAGGTTAAGAATAGGAAACCTGTTATTAATGGGGAAGTCATCACTATTTTCCAGGAGTGAAATCCTACCAACATCAAGTGGGGTAATGCTGGGGCTATGTAACCACCGGTATTTTCACAGCCTTGAAGGAGGCTGGAGTTCTCTTGGAGGGTAGTGCCAAACCGGTAATAACTCTGCTCCTTCTGCCGATGGCCCCATGTTTGTGATGGATGTGAACCATGGGACGTATGACAGCTCTCTTAAGATTACCAGCAATGCCTCCTGTACCACCAACTCTTTGGACCATGCCCAGGTCATTCAGGACAACTAATGGCCACAGTCCACACCATAACTGTCACTCAGAAAACTGTGGGTGGCCCTTCCAGAAAGCAGTGGCATGATGACTGTGAATGTGCCCAGCACATTCCTGCATCTGCTGGCACAGCCAAGGGCTGAGCTGAATGGGAAGCTTACTGGCATGACTTTCTAAGTCCCTCTGTCCCCTCTCCCAATGTGTTAGTTATGGATCTGAAAACAAGATCTGCTGTCTGGAGAAAGCTGTTAAGTATGATGACATCAGGAAAGTAGTTAAGCAGGCATCAGAAGGCCCCTACAGGGCATCCTGGGATACAATAAATATCAATAAAGTCTCCTGGGACTTTAATAGTGGCATTTACTCTTCCACTTTTGATGAGCTGGTATTGAATTTGGCTGCAGCAACAGGGTGGTGGACCTGATGGGTCTCATGGCCTCTAAAGAATATGATCCCTCTGGAACACCAGTCCCAGCAATAGCACTAGAAGAGAGAGACCATCAGCTGCTGGGGAGTCTTGTCCCAATTTGATCCCCTACCACATACCTTGAGAATCTCACATCCTTGACAGTTTCCTCCCAGTTCCCCTGAGAAAGGAAAGGGGCTTCAAGAACCCATCTTATAATGTATTATCAATAGAGTATGCTCTACTCAGGGGGGAAAACCTACTAGAGAGAAGATAATTATAAAAAAATAATTCAAGACAATTTCTCAGAACTCTAAGGCATGATCCTGAGGACAGAGCTAGATGACACTACCAATGACCTTTCTAAAAGTGTTCACAATAGAAGGTCCTGGACAGAATGGGCAAAAATAAAGGAAAAGAACACAAAAACATAAATGCAACCATGTTTACAAACCTGACAGAAAGACTGGCCCAACACCTAGGCTATGGCCTTGAGTCGTTCGTCCTTTGAATATGGAATGTAAGTCAACTTTGTGGCTCAATTGTCAAACAACAGGTAGGTCTACACCACGGTCAATGTTATCAGGAAGTTATTCACTCCTTGGAACAATCAACCACACAAGATCAAAAACAGGCAGCATCTGCCGAGGGATAAAACTCAGAAGGCAGGAAGTGGTAGGACAGAAGGACTGACAGAAATTAGAACCACAGAGAACGAGATGAGGGAAAATACAAGTAGGTATCCATGACAGGAAAAGTGGCAGGATGGGAAAATCCATTCACTCTGTAAACATTCAAATCGCAATAAAAACTGAATGAACGAATGAACAGCAATGCAGAGCTGTCAACCACTAGGTACCCATCTAGCACAGTGAACTGAGACACAGGACCATTAAATTTCAGAATAGTGAAGACAATAACTTCCATGCACATAGCTATACATTTTACAATCTGTGTACTCTTCAGTGTTACAATGCAAGACAAAATAAAAAGATAAACTGTAAGATATTTGTAATGATGATATCTGTAAGATTAGTATCAAGAACATATGAATAATTCGTATTTAAAAAGGTAAGAATAGACAAGTTGCTCAAAATAAGCAAAAAGTATGGAGCAGCAATTCACTGGAAACATGCATATCTAATAAACATGAAAAAATACATGTTCAATTACACTTACTCAAAACAGATGCCATCAAGTCAGACTGACTCACAGTTGACCATCAAGGGGATTTCCAGACCTGTAAATCACATAGGAGATTTCTCCTCTGGAGCCACTGGTAGATAATAAGAGGGGTGCTCCGTTTGGGGGAGCAGCATGACATCCGAAGGACATCAGAGCTTCCTTCAGCAACACTACCAGTTAGTATTCAATATACCTCAGATCAGCAGATACTCCTACAAAATTACTGTTAATCAAGATGCACTAGTAATAATTGATCACTGGAATGCAAAAGTGGGAAACATAGGAGGACTGGAAAATACTGCCTTGCTGAAAGAAATGAGGCAGGAGATCAACTGATGGAATTTTATATTATCAATGATATATGATTTATTCATTATAAATACCTTTTTAAGAAAAAAAAGGCAATTATACATAAAGACCTCACCTGAAGGACTACATAGTAATCAGAATGACTAGGTAGCTGTGGAAAGAGTTGATGAGGAAGCTCAGTATCTATTAGTAGTCAAAACCAAGCCAGGGGCTGACTGTGGAGCAAATCATCAATTATTTATGTACAAGTTTAAATTTAAGTTAAAGAAAATGAAAGCAAGTCCACAAAACCAACATAGGATCTCAAGTCTATGCCACTTGAAATTTAAAACCATCTCAAAGGCAGATCCGAACACTAATAATGACTGAAGACCAGGTGAATATGAGGTCCATGAAGAAAGCAAAGTCACTACAAATACAGAAAAGACCAAAACTGATGATACTTTGAAAAAAAAAAAAAACAAGAAGAAACTCTGAGAAAGGCCAAATAAAGGGAAGAAATGCTGCAGACAAAGAGATGAACAGAGTTGAAAGGGTAGCTCATGAAAAAAGAGGAAGGAGTTATAACAAAATGTAAAAGGAGTTGGGAGTTAGAAAATCAAAAGAGAGATAAACAACCAACATTTCTCCAGCTGAAAGAAGAGAAAAACAAATTCAAGCCTCATGTTGTAATATTGAAGAATTCTATGAAAAATTCATAAATGATATAGGATACTTCCACATCTCACACTATATAAAAAAACTAACTCTGAGAAGTGCCCTGAAGCGCCCCACGCATGGCCTGAGTGTACTCTTCTGGCCATTCTGAAAATGATCTTCAGCAGGATCTCGCTTGCAGAGGAAGACAAAAGATGGCCAACCTGAGTGTCTTGTGGAGCTCACCACGTAACGGCCTGCCTTCAGACAACCTTGCTTTGAGTCCTTATTCTACTGCCTTTGTTACTTTTTCAACTTTGAGC